CAAAAATAAAAGTATCGGTATCGGGCGAGTACTGGAAAAAGTGGTATCGGTGCATCCCTAGAATCCAGTATATGATTCAGCTTGTATATTATAAGCCTTGTGAAGTGACACAATCACTTGATATGATATTAAGCCTTCATTTATTCTCAAGTCAAATTAAAGCACTAGCTATGTTTCCATCTAAAGATGCGAATTTAACTTATGCACAAAACTGGAATATCACATAAAACATTTGCGAATAAAGCACCGTTTCCATCCAACGAGTCAAAGAGAACAAAATCGTCACTTCCTGATAAACTGGCACTAAATGTCTCTAAGAAAACTAGGAGAAGCCACTTAATATAATAATTTTCATATGTAATAAATTACTTGCGCTTCAGAGAGAGCAGACGTAACACAATAAATGCGGTCATTGCTTTTAGAGGTGGATGCCTGCTGCTTGGGAACGCACTCATGTAAGACAGAAAATATACAGAAATACTTTGATGACAGACTTTCCTCAGGCATTTCAGAACGACCAAAACAACATATAGATGCTGTGAACAAGATCGGTCTGCTGGTTAGTCAATTTATCGCAAAGTCACATGACTTTTTCAATGCGCGTGGTGGAATTTATTCGGTAAATGTGTTTCCATCGTAGTTTATGTGCATTTTTTCTTATCGGATAAAAAGTTTATCCTACTCAGTTGTGCGCATACGTTTTTATGTGCATTTTTAGAATTTATGCGCATCTTGGCATTTCCATACAGCGTTTTTTTATGCGATAATCCAAAATGCGCATACAAATAGGTGGATGGTAACATAGCTACTGATTAACGTTGGCATACAAAGACTACATCAAATATGACAACATAAACTTCAAACGTCAAACTATATAAGTTCTCACGTCATGAGACCATTTGAGGTTTGTGTTGCCGTATCATTTTTTTTTTTTTTTTATTTGATATGACTGGTGTATAAAGGCTTAAATCTCAGTTTGATCATTCAAGTGATCATGTCGCTTCGGAAAACTTTATATCAGTCAAATGATGCTACCTTTATGTCCATTTGGGACCTTAAAACCCAACTGACTTTCATTATTTGAACAAAAACAGCTAAAACATTTTTCAGAATATCTTCTTTTGTGTTGTGCAGAAGAAAGAAAGCCATATGAGTTTGGAATGACATGAAGGTGAGTAAATGATAACAGAATTTTCATTTTTGGGTGAACTATCCCTAATATCACCAATGGAGTTTTTTTTTTTTTAATGTCCATAGGTTTGAGATTATCCTAAAATGATACCTAAAATACAGCTACAATATTGGTAAAATATACCTAAGAAAAAGTTATAGAGAAAATATGCATTACACAGACTTTTGTCTATATAAATGCTGTCTAGAAGGAGAATGCCATGCTATTTTAGCCTATACTTTTTATGTCCCTCAGTATCCTTAACGGTATCTATTCCCATTCCATCTCTCATAATTAACATACATTTTATATAAGCAAATGTTGACTGTAGTACATTAGCAATGAGCTCATATTTCTGCTAAAAGCCAGTGACTCTCATTACTGTCATCACTAACCAGAGTGATCGTCATTGCTGACCACAGTAAAACCTCCATTACCAGCTCCATTATGCTCTCGTAATATCCATTTGACAATGAAACAACTTACAGCCTACATCTGAGTTACAAAGCAACATTCACGACTCTTGTGAGCTGTACACAGGAAATATCCTCCCACGTTTCTCATATTAAGAGACACTGTCAGCATTTCATATAATATCCACCTATCCAACCACAATATCATATATCTCTAGCTGAACTGTTATGCTAATACCATAAGAAATGTAACACGGGATATAACGGCTGAATAAATGTATATTCTACAGAGAGTTTGGCTTTGTAATTTCTCTGTAACCTTCGGCACAATAACATCCCTCATCTCTGACAGTGCTGCTATGGCAACATAGCGCTTACTCTGTGCTACTACTCCTAAGAGAGCTACAAGGCAAGTATCTTGGGTAAAATGTGAGAAGACGTGTCCCCTGGTGACGAATGACTAAACACAAAACTAAGATGGAGACTGGGGATTCACATGCTATTTTATGAATATATCAGCTGATATGAGAGGATTACATTAACTACACTAAAGAAAGGCACTTCTGGTAATAGTCTCTGCTTAAAGCAGCGCTCTGAGCCAGTGCATGCAAGGCTTGAGATTAACTAAGTTTTTTCTCCCCTCTCTACATCATTAATCTGTGTTTGAATAATGGCTGCATCAGGCACACAGCAAATGTGATCAAAGATGCACTAAAAATATTTTTCACAACTGGCCAGTGATATATCTTCAAGTGCAAATAATCAACCTTGTTTTAGCAAAGGCTATTTTCACTAACTTCACACAACATTACTCAGACAATTTATCCATAATACAAACAGAATATCATTTTCGATAATTAAAATACAGCTGAAGTAAAATAAAATATTAGAGGCAAATTTTAAATTTAAATGAAAATTAGAAATGTTGCCTTGGCAACTAACTGAAATAAATACGTTTAAGTACTAAACTTACTAAGACTGAAATAAAAAATAATTAAAGCTATAAAGAATGATTGGTTCAAAAAACTAAAAATAAAATAAAAATGAGAGAATCACATAAAAAAATCACTGAAACTTCAGCTAAAATGAAAAATATAACAATAAAATCTCATTCAAAACATGAATAAATAATATAACAGTATATAAATAACACTAAAATAACATTGGTGCAAACACGATTTTATTTTTTTTTATTTGCTGTAAGTAGCATCTACCTTCTCTTATACATGTAAATAGTTGCTGCCAATCTAAAAATTATTCTCTTGGTTTGGAAAACTGGGCATGATTGTATTCCATCATCACCTACTACCAAAACCCTGAGAAAAGAAATGTTATATCAAGTCCATTTCACATTTATTTTTTATTAAATAACTGATAAAAAGCACTGAATGTGGTAACATCTAAATTAACTGTAAGTCAAAATTATTTCACCTGACTAAATCAACTTATAACAAATTACGTACCCCATCAGAAGTTATTTTGAAACTGTTCCTTGATGTAACAACTGCAGGTTTTCCATTGACATGTTTAATAAGAGGTAAAGAGGCAAGATCCATACCACAAATTCTCCCTGCCTACCCTCATCATCATTAGCTTTAAAGGTGAGTTTTGTTAGGATATTAAGAAGCTTTAGGGTTTGATGTTTAGCTGTTAATAAAGCTGCAGCTAGCAACAGGCAGCCATTGCATAAAGCTTCAGAGAACACGAGCTGTCACTCAAACACACATCTGATATAAGCCCCTCCCACTGCAAAATACAAGCAGATATAAGCCTTCTCCCATGTCTTGGAGAATTGTAGTGCATATTAAACTGTAAGTACATAAGTACCCAGACACAAGTCACACTTAAAAAATAATGAATTTCCTTGCATTAGAATATAAAATTTAGCACTACACATTGTAAAGAAAAGTAGCACACTGCACATGCAGATGCCACTTTGTTTGATACTTAGTTATCTAAAAAAATTACATTTATACATTTGTAAGTCTGGATAAAGTGTGCAGACAATTTTGGAAGGCCACTGATTTCAGCATTAAACCACAATTCTTAAGCATTACTAAACCTGTTCATTCTCAATTAAGGTGCACTAAGAGATTTTTGCCAAACGATGATGATATTTGAAAGCACCAAAACAAACACACCCATACCCCAACAGGAACTCGCCCCTATTTTGATAACTCCGCCCTACACGTACGTACACAACCCTGGCAGCGACGATGGCGGAATCTGCTATGCCTGTCGGACGCAGCATATCCAAGCAAAATTCCAACACAGAAAAGTTGTGTAAAAAAGCAAAATCAATGTAACTCACCTATCAAGAAGAAACAAAGCAACCTCAGCGTCTGATTCCAGGCCTTCCTGCTCCTTAAGTTCTCTCCACTGCTGGAAGCTGCTCAGATATTTACACGGGTCCTACCTATTGCCTGATTGTAAACCTCCATTTTAATGTTTTGTTCCTCCGAAATGTTCCTTTTTTTTTTGCCATCTCTCGCTATCTTTAGTCGATCAGCTAATATCTGTCCTGTGCACTCACTGAGCGCTCTCTTCTCCCTATCATTACTAGACACGCCCCTTGCTGCTGATTGGCTGCGATATCCGTCCTGTGCACTCACTGGGCGCTCTCTTCTCTTTATCTTTACTAGACACGCCCCTTACTGCTGATTGGCTGCAATTTTGTTTTGGGACTCGGTCCGACACTGTGGTCAAAAGCGTTTTTCAAAAATCGCTTAGTGCACCTTTAAATGAAACATACAGAAAATGCTGACAGTGTGAGGGCAACTGAAGAACATTACTAATATGACAGATAAGTGGATGAGTGAAATCAGTTAGTTCATAAGTGTCACATAACATTTATCCTGCTCTGCATTGCAAGCCAAAAGAGAAAGATAACAAAAAAGAGGCGGTGAAAAAGAGAGAGGGAACAAACAGCCCTGCAGCACCAGACTAGATAAAGCAGCTTTCACCTCAGAAACCACACTAGCAACCAGGGTTAGAAAAAAGCAACAACCAAATAATAAAAATATATCACCAAAATACCACCCCCAAAAATGTCATTTTGGTAACAATCATTTAGATTTTAAGAAGACTGTATTATGTTTGTCCATTACAAATGTAACTTTCCTAATATCTACATTATTTATAATAATACAAATATTAGATACAAAATAAATACCAAATACAGTAATGTTGTTATATAATTTTGTATATTATTTATATAATGTCAAATATATAATGGTATAATTGCTACTGGCAATTACAAAAGCTGGTTAATATATTTACAACTACACAGAGAAATTACAACAAAATAGTTTGATAGCCTTAACAGACAAACATTTAAGGCTTTCATGGAATATGACATGAACATGGCTCTGATATGTTTTTTGTATGATTGAGAGAGTTTTGAATGAATTTTCTCTCAAACCCTTGAATTGACCCTGAGGCTGCAGAGATCTGCTTTATCCATAAAAACTGCAAAAGCATAGGAGAGTGAGATAGCGCCCAAGAAACACAAATTTCAAACCAGCAAAATCTTCAACTGGCCCCCGAAACGCTGAGAATGACAAAGAAGAAACAAGAGTAAGAGGAATAAAAAAAAATTATAAAAGACATCCAATTTAACAGAAAACAAGAGAAAGAGAGAGAGAAGAACGTGAGACGAATTGTTTGACATAAAAAGACTAAGAGCTAAGAGGAAATTCTGAATCTGAATTAGACGTTTGAAAGTCATTTGACACTGAATTGTACCAAACCCAGAGGGCTGGACTCCAGATCGTCTGTTCTAAGGCATTTCCCTGCTGGGATCACCATCGAGAGACGATAGGATGAGAAAAGAAACGAGTGATTAGAAGAAACAGAGTTAGGAATGCACAGGGAAGAGTAGAGGACCCAGTGAATCAATGTGAGTTTTTTAAAGAGTGTACATTTGTGTGTGTGTGGGTGTGTTTGTTTGTGTGTGTGTGTTTTTAATTAACTATTAATACTTCATTTTAACCATCCATTATTATATATGCAACTGTCTTCCATCTCTTATAGAGACATAAGAGCTCTGATCCAAAACCTTGCAAGCTGTTTGCTGCCTACTACCTACATAGGCAGCTGCCTAATAAGGCAGCATTGACTGTTATGAAATATCAAGAGTGATCAATTTTGAATACTTTATATTGACAGCAACTTCACGTGGTGCACAAGTAGTGCTCAACTCTGATGTTAAAGTTTGATGTTAGCATGTTGATAAGCTAACAGTTTGATACTCTAATAAATATAACAATATATAGCAAACACAAATATTAACAATTAAAAAAAATTAAAATAACCATTGTAACACTGAATTCTTTCCATTGATACTTCCAGTACCGGGTGAACTATAGCTAGCAAATATTTAATCAGCATTTCTATTTTTCATCCACCATTTTGGATTCATTTTTTCAGTGTTTCACCTCTACATGCAAACACGTTTCCTTAAAATATGGCCAAAATGAGCTTAGAAGACAGCCTACTTAAGTTGCCTACTTTTTTTGTACAGCTGTTGCCATCTGTGATGCCTTAAAAAAGCTCTGTCTCTGTTGGCAGCTTACTAGGATTTGGAACAGAACAATAAAACATTTGCAGTATTGCATGTCTCAGTACCATAAAAACAAAAGTGGTCGCAAGCTGTCTGATGAAATACTTATGATGAAATGAAGGCAGAGCAGATAAAAAGCAAATGGTCTTACTCTCGATGATGTCACCCAGGCCCTGGGCATAGAGGAGGTCCTTCAGACGGGACACCTCATCTTTCAGCTCACGCACCAGACGGTTATTAGGATCTTCATTGATCACAGCATTACAACGGATCTGCTTAGCCCTGTCTGCATACCTAAATCACATGCAAAGTGGAAAGATGGTAAAGAAGAATAAACAAATGGTAATATATGTAAAAATGTGTTTTAATAATGCTGCTTTCTTATGGCTGTTGCATTAGATATATTCACATAGTATAATGAAAAAAAAAAAGATTTTAGAGAGACTCTACTGCGCACACACACACACACACACACACTGACAGGTGCCCAATTACTTTGCTCAGCAGTATTACTGCACACCAGCATCTTTGAAGGGCGTTTGGGAGGCAGGTGTGTTGAGAGGGAACAGGAACATTCTCATTATGTAACATACTGCGGTACCCGTCAGCTCATTAACTAGCTCATTACCAACCTCAGACAGAGAAAAATATGATAAAACTGGTGTTTTATTGAGGCAGAATACCTGAGAGTGCTGAGGGTTTCATCATAGTTGATGTCAGCAGGACTGAGAGCCGCCACCATTGCAGTGCGAGAGTTGCCACCTGCAAAGGTCAAAGGTCAAGTGTTTCAAGAGTGACAATACATTAAAATCCTGTTTCATGTGACAGAAAACTCTGATACATACCAAGGTTCTCTCTCAGTAGCCAGGTCAGTACAGAATCCCTGTAAGGAATAAAACTTTCTACTTTCTTCTTCTTTTTATTCTGTGTGGGAAAAAAAAAAAATTATTAAATGAAAAAAATTTTTTTATATTATATTATATGTGACCCTGGACCACAAAACCAGTCATAAGGGTCCATTTCTCTAAATTGAGATTTATATATCATCTGAAAGCTGAATAAATAAGCTTTCCATTGATGTATGGATAGGACAATATTTGACTGAGATACAACTATTTGAAAATCTGGAATCTGAGGGTGCAAAAAAATCTAAATATTGAGAAAATTGCCTTTAAAGTTGTCCAAATTAAGTTCTTAGCAATGCATATTACTAATCAAAAATTAAGTTTGAATATATTTACAGTAGGAAATTTACAAAATATCTTCATGGAACATGATCTTTACTTAATATCCTAATGATTTTTGGCATAAAAGAAAAATCAATAATTTTGACCCATACAATGTATTTTTGGCTATTGCTACAAATATACCCCAGCGACATAAGACTGGTTTTGTGGTCCAGGGTCACATATTATATTATATTATATTATATTATGTTGTTATGTTATGTTACGTTACGTTACGTTATATTATATTTTTGTTCAAACATTTGGGGTCAGTAAGCTTGTTTTTAAAAATAACTCTTATGCTCAACAAGGCTGCATTTATTTTATCTAAAATACAGTAAAAACTAGGGATACACCGATACCGATACTGGTATCGGTATCGGGCCCGATACTGAGCTCCTGTACTCGTACTCATACTCGTTAAAATGCCCCGATACCAAACGCCGATACCACACAGCATGTGATAAGCGCCATATTCAGACAAAGAAACACCGACAACACAACAACAGACAGCAGAATTGAGGTAAGGATGTCTACTACGAAGTATATGTATGCAATGAATATAATGTTAAACATTCAGTATTAACACCTGTATAGCTGATGTGCGTGAGCTGATAAACAAAGCACGCTGAGTGGATTGAGCGCGCGGCGTCGCAGATGCGCGACGGCGGTGCAGATGCGCGAGCTTGTCGAGTGAATATACCTTTCTCACAGACATAACTGGAAAGTTTGTAGTTCGGTCGGATATATAAAAAACAAGTAAGTAAAACAATGCACAAGTTACTTAATGCTAGGGAGACAGAGAGAGAGACTCGGTATCGGCAAGTACCAAAAATAAAAGTATCGGTATCGGGCAAGTACTGGAAAAAGTGGTATCGGTGCATCCCTAGTAAAAACAGTATAATAGTAAAATATTATTACAATTGTAAATACAAGAATCATTTCTTATTATCAAACTTTAAAACAATTGTGCTGTTTAACATTTATTTATTTATTTTATTTACTTACTTACCTACTTACATATTTATTTGTTTATTTTGGAAAATGTGACACATTTTTTCCCAGGATGAATCTTTGATTAATAGAGATTAATATCAAAATTAATAATCACAATTAATCAATTAATCATTAATCAATTAATTAATTACAATTTAATTAAGTTCAAAACAAACAGCAGCTTTTATTTGACAAAAATCTTTTTGTAACACTATAAATGTCTTTCCTGTCATGTTTGGTTATTGTAATGTGTCCTGAATAAAAGTATGAATAAAAAAATTAGACCCCAAATGTTTGAACTAAGATAGATAGATAGATAGATAGATAGATAGATAGATAGATAGATGAAGTGTTATACCTTGTTTGAGCCAGAATCCTGCAAAAATAAGTGATAAAATAAATTGCAGGTCATTAAACTGACACACATTGAACTTTCTATGCAGAAAATAATAAATCATCCAACATCCTCAAGGCTCACAGCAAAACAAAACACTTACCACCTCAGCCAGAGCCGAAATGACTTTTCCCAGGGTTGTGAGTGATTTATTGATGTTTGCCCCTTCCTGGGAAGAAAAGATTAGGTAGAAAATAGAATTACAATTCCAAACTCAAAAAAATATTCATGATAGAATGAAGCAGAGTACTGTCAAAATGCCAGCATGCTCTCTGAGCACTGATAGCAGGAAGTATGTGGAGAGAATTAGAGGACAAACGGAGAAAGAGAGAGAGACATTTGTTGATGTTAGAAAAGATAGAAAACAGAGGAGATATAATGATGTAGATACTGAGGGAGTTAAATAGAGGGCATGAAAGGACAACGGACAATGGGGGGATAAGAAGTGAACTTGGAAAGCTAAAATATATATATATATATACAGTATAGTCACCTTGAGCCGTGTGCCTTTGGCTCCAGTGGAATCAGCTCTCTCACTGCCGGCTAAATCCACCAGACTGATTTTGCTGACCTGCCAGAGAAGTTCAGGAGAGGTCAATAATGAACATGCTGAGAAATGGACGAGCCCATATCACCATTCACA